CATTTACCACTGATATGAGTGTCCAGTCCACAGACGTGGGTCGAAACCACAGTTGGTATAAAATAATAACTGAGTGAGTTTTTCTTCCTCGCCGCTGTCAGTGCGCCCCAGGGCGGCTGTGGCTACATGTAGCTGCCATCACCAGTGGGTGGATGACTGGATGTGTGAAGCGCTATACAAATGCAGGCCATTTACCATTTTTCTGGTTAAAGAGAAACTTAGAGGTTTCCTGTCTACAATCATATTTGTGAAACGAGATACTTCCTCCATCTTTGTTCTGCTGTCAGGCGTGAAGATGACGCCCCCGTGATGAGTGCATCTCAGGTGTTTGAGGAGTTCATCTGTCAGAGGTTGATGCAGGGCTACCAGATCATCGTCCAGCCCAATAACAGAAAACAGCCGCCCGCTGTGGCCACGCCCCTCGGCAGCAGCCCGCTGTACTCCAGAGGTGAAAGAACTCTTTGTAATCTATTACATCATCATCATCATTAGTGTGAACAAACACAGAGGACGAATAAGCAGAAACAAATAAAGCAGCTGTACTTTGTATTTGTTTGTGTTTACAGCTGAAACTGAATTTAAAAGTTTTGTTTTTTTCAGTGTTTAGAAGAAGGCCGGCTCGAGGTATGTGACAGTGCGAGCTCTGTTTCAATCACTGGATGGTGGGGGCACGTGGTGGTGTTGGATATTGTTCTTTCAGAGCCAGTCTGTAGATGCAGACGATGCGTCTTCTGTTTGGGCTGCAGCTGGTTGTCAACACTCAACCTTCAGTCATAATAACAGATGTGCCAGCTGTGGCGTCTGGCTCTTCTTAAAGAGAAACACCAGATGTTTGTCACCACACGTGACCCGATTCTTCTCGTGTCTTCAGGCCTGGTGTCTCTGCGTCGAACAGAGGAGGAGGAGAGCGTCTACTGGCTCAGCATGGGCCGCACCTTCCACAAAGTCTGCCTCAAAGACAAGATCATAACGGTTACTCGCTACCTGCCAAAGTGAGTGCACCCGCCCCAAACACACCAACACAAGACACAGCCGTGTGCTGTCAGAGCAGGTCTGTGCAGGCCTGCCGGTGCTAACCTGCCCCCCCCCGAGGAACCGAACTGATGCGTAGAAACAGACGAAGCAGCAGCTTTTATTGAGCAATGAGATAAAAACAATAATTATTTGGCTAAAATCCAACTTTACTTTGTTGGAGATTGATAGCTTGAAGCAGCGGTCTCCAACCTTTTTTGCACCACGGAGCGGTTTATGCCCGACAATATTTTCACGGACCGGCCTTTAAGGTGTCGTGGATAAATACAACAAAATAAAACTAGTACCGGTAC